ATTTGATAAATTTTCAAATGGATGCCAAGAAATATATTTAATTTCAATATGACTTGGTCATCCATTCCCTAAAAGAATAGGATTTTAAGATTTCTCTTGTGATTATTCCTCTCTCTAAATATCTAGGTATTTATCTGTTTAAAAGTAAAGCCCTTTGCCATTTGATTGACAGACAGCTGACAGATGATGGATGGATGGATCTGAAAAGAAAAGAGAAGAGAATATCTAAGATACTTCATACTGAACATTGGTCAGGCAAGACTTTCCTCCATTAGGATTCTGCAAAATTCAACCAGAGTCTCAAAAATTGGGCTGGAATACCTCATTATTTTTTAGAGAAAAGAGTTAAAATAGACTTTTAAAAATTCTTCTTGGCCAGGCGCGGTGGCTCACGCCTATAATCCTAGCACTCTGGGAGGCCGAGGCTGACAGATCATTTGAGCTCAGGAATTTGAGACCAGACTGAGCAAGAGCAAGACCCTGTCTCTACTAAAATTAGAAAGAAATTAATCGGACAACTAAAAACATATAGAAAAAATTAGCTGGGCATGGTGGCACATGCCTGTAGTCCCAGCTACTTAGGAGGCTGAGGCAGGAGGATTGCTTGAGCCCAGGAATTTGAGGGTGCTGTGAGCTAGGCTGACACCACGGCACTCTAGCCCAGGCAACTGAGTGAGACTCTGTCTCAAAAAAAAAAAAAAAATCTTCTTCATAGGATTCTAGAGTAAATAATCCAGTGATCTGATTAATGTAAGACTTTAATCACTATAAATGAATAGATTTTTATCACAGGTTGCACTGAGTAAGCAGGAGAAGTAGGTATTTGGAACTTTGAGAAACAAGACTGAAAAGCCCCCAAGCTTCTTTACACTTAAAAATATTCATCTGTTAAGAGCAAGAGCTTATGAAAGAGGTAAACCCATTCACTGAGCTTTACTCTGTTGCTTCATCCACTGGTGGCTGAGTGAACTGAGGCATTTTTAAATATAGCTGTAGAATCTTTCTCATTAAATGTAAAAACAAAATAGTTACAGAGAAAACAATCACTATAGAGGTTTGTTTTGGAAAAAAATGTAAGTTTTTTTTTTTTAATTTTGAAGATTACAAACAAAATATTAGGAAGTTGGAAC